GCTCAGACCTTGCCTTGGCAATGACGCTTTTGAAGGACCTGGAGGCGGAATTATACTTCTTTTTAAGTGCGCTGGTGTTTACATCCCGAGACGTTGATGCGTCAGCCCAGGACCAGTAGCACTCCTGTTTATAGCGTGATGTTATTTTACAGAAGCGACCAAACCATGGCTGGGATCTGCCTCCGATGGGCACCACAGAGGATGGAATAAAAATTTCCATACCCTGAAGTACCACATCAGCAACAGAATCGGCAACAACGCTGGGATCTTCCGGCGAGAAGCAAACCCGCCCCCAAGGTAGGATGCAAAAAAAGACCGCATCCCGTCCCAATCAGCTGACCTATAGTGCCAAACACGGCGGCAAGCTTTAGATCGCGACTGCGATTGGAGCGTGAGTGGCACCGTACTCCGGATCAGACAATGGTCCGAAGAGCCCAGAGGGGCATCGACGGAGACCTGATATCCGTCCGGATGAGAGGTCAGCAGAAGGTCCAACAGGGAAGGAACATGGTCTTCCCCATCTGGGATCCGCGTAGGCGAAGTAACCAGTTGTGTTAGACCATATGCCAAAGCAAAGTCATAGACAGATCTACCCGCATGATCGGTTAAACGAGAACCAAGCCATTCAGCGTGGTGGGCGTTAAAATTACCGAGTATCACGATCTCTGCGGATGGGCCCTGTTGTAGCACGGAGTCTGCAGCCATTTGGACGTGGTCGATGAGTCGGTCTGTGTCGGCATTACCGCTATGGGACCTATAGAGGCACCCGTAGACGCGGGGATGGTCGTCGCTGTCTACGCGCAGCCATAGGATGGACAGGTCCGTACCTTCAAGACTCCGAGGCGTCGAAAACAGATGTCCTCTCTGACGTATACGCAAACTCCAGCCCGGGGCACAAAGGAGTGTTCCAATTTGTACCCCGGGTAGGAGAGATATGAAGTATCAGCCGGAGAGGACACCTGAGTCTCGGTTAAAAAGAGCAAGGCCGGCTTCGCCGTCTCTAGATGGTAATGCACAGCGTTAAGGTTGGAATGAAGTCCCGTGATGTTGCAAAAATTCACGGATAGCGTGACAAGGGTCGCCTTGGTTGCATTGCTCCGCTTGCCCCGAGCAGCATTAGTCGCGAGCGGAATTTTGCCCCCCCCAGAATACGCGGGGCAGCCTGAGCACCCACGCTCAGGCTGCCTCAGCTCAGTGAAGTAGTTTGGTCGTGGATGCTCAGCGAGGGATTCTCCAGGGGTGCTGGTACCCTCCTGGGGTAGTCTCTTATTTAATTCCACAACCATGTTGATGGGGGGGGGGGTATTGGGCCTCCGGCCACCTGCACTCACCAAGCGCAACGCAGAGGTAAACCTCTACTTCACGCTGGTATTCTGTGAGGTCGTGGTACCACCCCGGTTCGAGCTGGCCCATCCGTGCGACAGCAAAAGCTACCGCTTAGCTCTACCACTGTGAGAATCGAAGGAGAATTGTTTTTGCGCATTTGCTCTCTGAATTTCTTTAGTGACACAATGGCTACTCCTTTGTTTTGTACCGAAACGGCAGAGTTTATTCAAAATAATTTTATATAATAATAAAAAAAATATTTTATATGTAATATATAATAATTTAATATTTAAATCATTATTGTTCTTATTTTAATAAATACGTTGTTTAATCTATTTTTTTTTTTCATTTTTATCACTAATCCACATAATGACAAAACTAGATCCACTATTGATAACGCTTATCGTTCACAATAATGCGCATCACTATGCTCGCCCCTAAGGTATGTGTGTTCCCACACACATACCTTAGGGGCGAGGACAAAATAATTCTAGTATAGGTATAACTATAATCATAAAAAAACAAACCTTTGACATGAGCCTAAAGCCGTTCGATGGCATTGTAATGGTAATAATATGTTGGCAATCTAAGCACCGTATGGCCATGTTGTTCAGCTATTTCCTCCAAAATGTAGCTTGGATTTCTCGGTTTTTTCTTTCACTAATCGGACTAATTCGTGATTCAACATATTTTCATTGGCTTCAATGCCTTTGCTCTGCAGCCAAAATATAAGCTCCAGTTTTCTATACTTTTATAAGGAATTATCCATAATAATCATATGTGATTCATGAAGATTTTCCAGTAATGTTAAAAACACTCTTTGAACTTTTCAAAATTCAATTCAACATTAATAATTACCTTCACATATCGGCTGTACGTAAAGATTAAACATACTTTAAAGTGTAACAATTCCAAGCGTTATGCGTACTTCATGGACTAGGTGGAACAGGTATTTTCAGGACTCAGAACAGAGTATTTGTACGGAATTGGACTACAAATTACACCTAGTACAAAATTTACCTAGTACGACGCATCTCTAACTGATTATAAAATGGCTGACTAAGAGAAGGATGATAGGCTGTAGTGTTGCCACGATCTTGGAGTCAATAGCTACTATTTTTGATCTTTTAAAAAAATATCAGCTGACAATATAGGGCTGACAAGCAATGAGTACCGTTAATAGGACATATTTGCTAATAACTAGCCAATTCCAATACATATTTACGTGATTTTTATATATTCGATTTATTTCAAAACCGATTTTGATAGCCTGTGGTTGTTCTTTATGGTGCGTAGGCCTCGGGAACACTCCTACTCTCACTAACACAACAGCCAAAGTCAAAACCTCATCGTGAAATAGAATAACTATATTTGATAACTGTCATATAATATATTTTAGTAGTTTGAGCGTATCCTCTTAGTAGTCTGTGGTTTACATTAGGTCCACCGTCCACTCCACAGGACACAAAACACAATAACACAATTACTATTTTTAGGTTTCCGTACGCGAAGGGCAGCCAACGGGACCCTATTATTAAGCCTCCGCTGTCCGTCCGTCCGTCCGTGGGTCTGTCTGTCAGCGGGCTGTATCTCATGATCCGTAATAGGTAGACAGTTGAAATTTTCACAGAATTTTCTCAAGAAAATCTTTTTCTTGAGAATATTACTACTATTTTTAGTAAAACTATTTTTGTTTTTGTGTTCACAAATTAAATTTTTGTAAATATATTGAGAGACCAAAGTTAGTATATTTATTTCTTTAAATTTTTCTCGTAGGGATTCCTTCTCTTTTACAAAACAAAAATGGTTTCAGTGGCAGTCTCGTTACCCCGTAGCAAGATTGCATATGACATTATGCTACGGAAGTAACTAAAATAAACTAATCTAGGTGTTTCATAACATGTAAGGCATCTAAATTTTTTTCCAGCATATGCTGCAGAACTTAATTTGCTACCTAGTTTAGATATATGAGGGCACCATTGAAGCTTAGCGTGAACTGTAATTCCAAGAAAAACAATAGATTCAATAAGGCCTTGTATATTTTGATGTACCAGGTGTATACAATGTTTATGATTGTTTATATGCGAAATTATACAATTAACTAATTGTGGGCTGCATTCTAAATAGTTTAAATTATTATTATTATTGCTATAGATTACAACTATTGTCACATTTTCTAATTTAATTTACTTGAAACTGATTACAAATTACACTAATAACTTAGAAATGAGGATATCAGCAGTAGAACCAGAGTGACCAACATAGCCGAATGGTACTAATCCGTTGGGCTATGTTGGTCACTCAAAATAAGATTGTTCCACCAGTGCGTGTTGCCAGTGACGTGTAGTGAGACCTATGGATCTGAGACGTGGTCCTTCACTACTGGCCGTATGAGGAAGCTCAAGGTCGCTCAGCGAGCTATGGAGAGGGCTGTGCTTAAGGTTTCTCTGCCTGATAGACTTAAAAACAAGGATATCCGCAGTAGAACCAGAGTAACTGACATAGCCCAACGGATTAGTAAGATGAAGTGGCAATAGGCCGGCCATATAGCTCGAAGAACCGACAACCGATGGGAAAAAAAGGTTCTCGAGTGGCGGCCTTGTACCGGCGTAAGTGCAGGACGTCCCCCCACTAGATGGAGTGACGAATTGGTAAGATATGAAAGAAGTCGAAGGATGCAGGTGACTCAGGACCGTGCTTTGTGGCATTCCTTGGGGGAACGGCGGACTTGTAAAGGGCTGTAATGATGATGATGATGATGATTACAAAATCAATGATAAGTCATTATACTAATCAATAGAAGCTGATGTCTGGGTAGCCAAATCCTTGGCTAAGTTAAAATATAAATAATAAGATAGCACATTTTCAATGTCTTAAATTATATTTGGGTAGGTATAGGTAGTACCTATCTGCAGTCCTAAGCTTCTTTAAGTACGGGCAACGAACGAATGCAATCCTGATAGGTCGTGATCGAACAGATAACATAACTTTGAAGTGGCGTTTAATTTAAGATGTTAAAAAAATATTGTTTAATTGCTATACTAACGGATAATTATCTTTAAAAATATATCATTATATCAACTTAAAACAAATGTTATATTTCTGTGCTAATTTAAATATCAAGTAAATAAGAAAACAATACCTACTTATTTTAAAACTTCACTACGCTGTTCAATCCTATATCTACGTGTTACAAGGATAGATCAATTGTTTATTTTTGTAGTGATGTGTCAAAAATAGCAGGTAAAAGAAACGTTATTTGTCGTTATACTACACAATAATGTGTTTTTCTTTCAAATAATTTGATAATAAAAGAATAGTATTGAAGTTAATAATATTATAAAACGGCACCCAAACCAAACGCGCGAAGGCAAGTAGATCAATATTAGTAACTATTTTTACTATAGACTAATTTAATATACTTTGCGCCATAGATAAAAGAAACTAATACTACATAATTTCTTATCTGTGACTGGTATATAGTTATCTGTGATTTCTTCGTTGTGAATATACTCTGTCCCCATAGGTAAAACCAGGTATAACTATACCTATTAGTGACTAGTACTCGGTCCCGGAAGCTAAAAGTCTAGGTACTTTACATTTTCACAGACTAGATAAGTTACTACATAACTTTTTTTATTTATTGTAATCACAGACTAATATGATGCTTACGCATATTGTAATGCGGATTGCGGATTGCAGACGTCGCTGTCTTCTGCCGTAATTGTGTTAATAAGTGCGATTGTGCTGTTATTTGATTTTATCAATTTTAACATATTGAAATAAAACTTGTGTTTTGTTTTATGTTTTACAAATTCATGTCCTAATATGGTGCTAGAATGTGATGACAAATGTTTACATTTTTGGAAAAGTTAACTATTGTATAATGAACAAAAAAAAATTATTTATTAATTTTTATTTCATACATTCCTGTGATATTTAATTTTCAATTACAAAATGACTGTTACATATACCGCTGAAGTGGCGACTTGTCGCGGTTTTGGCACATTTTTGAAGGTTTTATATAGGTGAGTTTCCTATGACTTATTAAAATATTTTATCATTCTATTTTTTATCTCTAGTCTCTTTAAAAAAATTAAATGGAACTTTGAATATTTTGTTGTTTGGACACGAGAAAATAAAATAAAATATTTAGTTTAAAAAAACAACATAATACACACCATAAACTATGACTTATTATTATTACATTATATTATTTCAGTCAAAAACTAAGTAAACTTTATACCCAAATATACCGCAAAATTTCGGAAAGGTTCGTTCGTTCGTTTAATACATAAAGCCAACTAAATATTCTCTATATATTATTATTATATCTAAGTATTCTCTGTATATTATTATATCTAAATATTATTATTAATACATCTAGGTATTTAAATGTATGTTACACATTTAAAAAAAATATTTAATTGTCTGTTTATACATAAAATAAATGGAAACAGAAGGACAAATCTTATTTAGATTCATCTGCAGTATTAGTGAAAGTCTCCACTCTCCAGCCATAAACATATTATGTACTAGCTGCACAAACTATATAGAAACACTACTAATTTATTTGATGATTTTCTATTGTTCTAATAATTAAAATTTACAAGAGGCAAATATTTATTTAATAAAACATAAAAATTGTAGATTTTCTGGTTTAGGCGAATTCTTTTTTCAGTTTGGATGTGCCCAGCCGTTAAAAAAAGTCTTTGCGAGGCGACTGTACATAGTTTCAGTGAAAAATATTTTTGGGAGTCTCCCGTCGTTGAGGCTAAGGGCCAAAACACACGTATTTTTTACGCGCCGACGACGCGCATTATCCAAGTTCGCCAATAATTAGAGCTGCGCGCAAAAATATTAGTTTATAAATATTCGTGATCAGTATTCGCCGAATACGAATATTCGGTAAATGTCTACTATTCGGCGAATACGAATATTCGTATTCGTTGCATCACTAATTATTATACATCACTTAATTATGTTATGATTTATAATACGATATTATTTTAAAATTTACTTGATGACTCAACCAACGGCCCCATTGAACAAATTTGTACCCATACTTCAGAATATTTATCATAACTTTTGATGAAATGAACTGATTTTAATGAAATAAAGGCTAAATGTAACCCGAATATACACTTTATAATTTCCTTAACGATTCTTATGATATACATTAGTACTTTATACGTGATACCTTAACAAACAAACAGACAGATAGAAAATTTTAAAAATGGTAGAAATGTATTTAATTACTTATTTTTAGTACCTCTCAATCACTTTTATTACAAAAATATAAAATGTACAGACATCTGCTATTTACATTTTTATTATACGTATAGATTACATAATATTATAAAATATAAAAAATACAATTTAGTATTCCCGTCTTTAATTTTCGGAGTCTTAATTTTCAATTCAAAATTAGGTATTTCTTTTCACTCCGTCTTTTAATAAACTGCCGTTATTCGATCGAATGAAACTAGTTTTTACGGATTTTATCGCGTTTTATAATTAAACTATTTTATATTTCCGACGTTTCGAGTACTTTGCAGCACCCATGGTCACGGGGGGTTGGAAATCATTACATTTGGCATTGCTCACTACGTTGTTCGGGCAAGTTGCGAGCCCAGGGTCTTAGACCATGCGCGGGCTCTTGGCCATCTTTAAGTATGAGAACGTTTTAGAAAGTCTTTAAGAAATTAAAACATCTAGGTAAATATATTTGTACGTCTTATCTAATCTGTTGGACATAGGTCTTTTACGTCGGAGAAGGATTTGCCTTATTCGTCACGCTTGGCAAAATGGGAAGCAAAATGACGATCGCAGACCACGTAGGTACAACCGTACCAGACGTCTCGCACCATTGACCCTGTTGCACGTCGCTGGTCTAGATTCACGTCTGGTGTAAACCAAAAACAACAGCCACATTACAATTTTACAACATATCTAAAAAAAGGAAATAACTAGTTGGCAGGCCTAGTTGGCAGGCCTATAATAGTTATTTACAAATTACAAATACATTATATAAAAAACATGCGTGAGTGTCGTGGAACACTGTGTTGGAACGAAGTTCCTTTCATAGTATATTATTATTATTGATAAACGTATTTTATCATTGATTAACAAATAGAAATAAATGAATTACTAGCGTCTATTAAAATGAAGCGTCAATTAAATAATATTTCTTTAATGGCAAGATAAGAAAAAGTGCGAGGGAGATGGATAATATTCCATCTCGCTCGCACTATAGAAAGGGGGTCGTGACGGAAAAATCTTACACATTTTCTCGCCTAGCTCCCACTCGTCAAATTTATACCGTGCGATAAAGAACTGCGTTCCAAAAATTAAGAAATTAAGATCAGAGTAGCTACGCACTGCATATGTAGATAGTACTGACATCTTTGGCAAGTCATAAGATTTTTCTGACGAAATGAGGTGGATTATCTTATGCTACAGACACACTACCGTGATATGGCAATTACTGTGACCATAATTGAAACAACACCTAGTAGCCACAATTTATGTCCTTAATTTTAATGTCAATCAATATGGCATATGACGGTACCTACCCGTGTAGTGGCGGTGTAAGAATATCCACTACCCCATATCACCTTACCACCATTCATGTATACCCCATTATCGTCGGTCGTCGTTGGGAGTACGGAACTCTGGTGGTTTTGAGGTCGGACCGAAAACACTTGAAATGTATATCTATACTGCGGAAATAAACACATCACATCACAATAAACAATAATGTAGAAGCAACTATTCGCTGGGGGTTAAGTTCCCTTTAGAACATGATTTCTTTTTATATTATATTTTTTATATTATATCAAACGAGCACACAGTCCACCTGATAGTAAGTGGTTGCTGCGGCCCATAGACATCTACATCTATCCTCTATTACAAATCAAAATGCAGATGCGTTGTCACCCGTGAGGACTAAGATGGAATGCCTTTTTTCTAGTAAAAAGAGTCTCCGGTTCTCTACACTCACCATACGAAACACAGCAGCATTAAGCTGCTATATTATTATGGTATTCTGTGAGAGCGTGGTCCTTCACCGGTCGAGTCGACCCATTCGTGCTACTATACTACTAATATAGCTGCAGCATGCTTCTATATCATCATACTTCATATTGAATAAAACTATTTATACAGATTTTAACCTTTTTTCACATTACAAAACCCATGGTCGCGGGGGGCTCAGGTATTTGACGTCGTGATTTCATAGTCCCGGACTACCGGATGTCTTGCTTTTAATTTTAATAAACTCCGGAAGATATGAAAATCAAAAATATACCATAATTTGTATAGAGTAGAGTAGTGTAGGTACTAACATTTGCTTGGAATCCCACAATTAAATAAAAACTGAAGGTTAACCATCACATATCATAAAGTCAAACCTCAGTTCCCCTCGTGAACATAGGTACATATTAGATAAGTTACTACGTAAAAGGCGTGTTTTGAAAAATGTATGACATATTATATTTTATGTATTTACTCGAACAATGTAAAACAAGATCATTTAAATTAGTAAATGACGAACGCGTGACCCAGTGATCAGAATATCTAGCTTCTACGCCGCAGAACAGTTCGAAACATTTCAAAAATCAATTTTATTTATGTTTGTTTATTTATTTATTGTTTAAATTACACATCTTCAATCAACATCCTTATCTTCCTCTGAGCATTAAGTTCTGAGGAAGTGTGTATGTGTTGATGTTTTTTTTTTATATAGGATAAGGGTGACAAACGACCCACAGTCCACCTGATGGTAAGTGTGTAGCCGGTGGAAGGAAAAGGGGAGATCTCCCGCCGGGCAAGGTGTTCTGCCCGGGGAGCGGCTAACGCTCCGATTGGTAGTTCGGAGCTATTCTATATATGCTGCTTTAATTCCGGAACTTTGATAGCGCGATTTAGGCTTCGATGTGTTTTTCGCTTGTGGCGCGACGACAGCGCCGCCACATCACCCCCCTGCTCAGACCGGAGGTCGATAGTGCAGTCCGATTGCCGGTGCGTCCTTAATGCCGGTAGGGGATGCATGCTGTGTGCGTAAGGGCAAGTGACGCCGGTGCGAATGATATGCCGGTGTGTAATGCATGCCGTGATGCCGGTGAGAACGATGAGCCGGAGCAAGTGCCAGGGATTGCCTTGTAGTCTGCGGTGAGTCGAGAAGAAGGCAAGTAATCTGCGAGAGTGCCGTGAAGCAGAGGCGAGCAGTAAGGCTCAGAGCCGTGCCGAACACTGTAGCGCAGAGAGTAGCTTGAAAGAACAGGAAGCATTATTATTCCAGTGCTGCGATGAACCTTTGTTAAGCGAGATGGCTTGCAGAATGTGAAGACTGCAGATAATATCTGCTCGGGAGCGAATGAATGGGGTATTTGAGGACGATGACGAAGGTTTGAAGTTGTAGTTTCCGAAGGTTATTGGTTGCGTGTTCATATCACGTCGGGTGGTCACCACTCTGGCCGGTGGAAGGAAAAGGGGAGATCTCCCGCCGGGCAAGGTGTTCTGCCCGGGGAGCGGCTAACGCTTTTTAAAAACTTTGATAGCGCGATTTAGGCTTCGATGTGTTTTTCGCTTGTGGCGCGACGACAGCGCCGCCACAAGTGGTGGCTGTGGCCCATAGACATCTACATCTATCCTCGGTGACGAATCAAAATGCAGATAAATTGTCACCCGTGAGGACTAAGATGGAATGCCACGTCTCCAGTAAAAAGAATTTCCGGTTTTCTACACTCGTACGTTTTTATACGAAAAACACAGCAGTGTTAAGCTGCTATTTTACTCTAGAGTCCTATGAGAGCGTGGTCCTTCCCCGGTCGAGCCGACCCATTCGTGCTACAACTGTATCAGTAAAATATAGCTGCAGCATGGCTCTACCGCGTAAAATGTAATATGTAGTGGCACTGTAATATGTGAGGAACACGTCAGCTGGCTATTAATAAGAATAATATAGTTTGAAAGCTTATATTCAACTTGCTCTCTTCCTTACTAAACTCTTTTTCAAAAAAAAAAA